ATATATACACACATATATATATATATATATATATATTTATATATATATATATACACACACATATGTATATATATATATACACACACACATATGTATATATATATATATATATATATATTTATATATACATATATATATAAAATTTTCTTGTAATTTTCAAATCACATGTTTTTTTATGATTGTCTACTGCTGTACTGAAAAATATCTCCTGGAGGGTAAACTATATATTGGCTGCAAGTATCAAGCTGCCAAATCCTTCGTTTTCTACAACTGATAGCAGTTTGTCATTAATTATGATGAAGTTTAGCAACTTCTCGGTAAACATTTGAGATCCAGGGCTTCAGCAATGTTTTCTTCTTGTTCAATCCGAAGCAGGCAGCCTGATTTCGGTCAGCCGCGCTCAGTCTGCCCCTCCTCAGAGACGGGCAGATTGAACGGGGCAAATTGGACGCCGCTGGCCAGGGTCAGGCAGCCTGCTATGAATTCAGCAAGAGTAGCGCCACACTGAAGCCACGGAGCTCGTATGTCCAACATAAAACTAACTTTACCGCAGTTTAATGTGGCGCTATGGCTCTGCAGACATTGCACGTTGCTGTCTTGTTTTATGGTGTTTCTAGTGTAAAATACTTCCACACAGCGAACATGTTTAGATGAAAAGTTTGTTAGCCGTTAGCCACAGCGCTGCTAACTCAGTCCTCACGTTGTAGCTGGCTGCAAACTATGAAATGGATTTCCTGAAGGCGGGTCTTATTACTCTGGGTTCATGAGACACACCTCCGTTCAGGAAATCCATTCCATAGTTTGAAGCCAACATGCATCATGGATCGGAAATCTCTGCAGGTTGGATCGGAAAATGGATCGGTCACATTGGCATGATACCTGATCCAGAAGTTTTTCTGATATTGGTACCGTGCATCTCTATTCATACACCGATGGGACACATATCTGAGGCAATGAGGGGTTCAGTGTCTCGCCCAGGGACACTTCAACATGTGACTGCTGGTGGATTCGTACCCCCAACTCTTGCACTGGAGGGCAACTGCTCTAACCACTCAGCCACAGCCGCCCAAAACACATGAAAATTATTTTTTTTCCTTTTGGCTGCTCTCTTCTTCAGAGGTTGCCACAGCAAACTAACTCCCACGAAGACTTGACAATTGTTTTTACACCATATGTCCTTCTTGACCCAACCACAGACCACCGAGCTACCACAGCCCTCTGTGTGGAGCAGAGAGCTGCTATCTAGTGCACCCAGGGGATTAGATGGTGGTGCTCCATCACACCTGATTCAGTGATTTAATTACTTCAAGTTCTGCAGAAGTCAGTTAATCACCCATTCATTCAAATCATGTTTGTCAAAGCAGGGACACAAGTAAAACATGCAGGATGGTGTTCCTCAAGGATCAGGGTTGGGAACCACTGCTCTGCTGACTTTAACTTTAGACAACTATTGGTTTTGATTGTACAAACACATTTTCTTCTAAAAAGTAGATGTGTGAGTGCTGAGTGCTGAATGACTACTGAAATGTGACTGAATGAATTAATTGAGTTGTTAAATTTAAAACAAGCTAAAGTCAGCTAAATCAAGCTAAAACTAACAAGCCAGCAGCTAAATAAAGTAGCATTAAAAGACAAAAACAAAAGCAGAAGCTGAAGCAGATTTTAGAGAACAACATTTTTGTACTTAATGGGGGATTTTATATGAAATAAAGTAATTTCTAACGTATAAAAGTTACAAAAACAAAACAGTCAGTGCACTGATGTGGGTTGATCTGAAAGTTCTGAGGTATGGATGGTCAAAATAGCACAAAGTACACAGAAGGCATTTTATTAACAAAAAAAAAAAAAAAAAAAAATTTTCCATTCAAATACACCAGAATGCAGGAAATGGCATTTTGTTCAAAATTTTCTGGGGGAGGACCCCAAGACCCCCAACAGTGTGTCACCCCAACATTACAAATGCTTCTGATGCCAATAGATGTTTACAGATGACAAGCAGTTGATGTCTCCTGCTGCTGAGGAATTTGGAGAGAATGTTTGTAGTTTTCAAGATGAGTGTTTCTCTAAACCTAAATGTTTTTGATGCAAGACATTCAGGTGGGTAGAAGTCACAATGTGGAAAAGAACAGAGGTCGGAGATTAACCTTTGACCCCCCCCCAAAAAAAAAAAAATCATTTGAGGAAACTAAACTTTGAAGTATAGTTGATAAAAACTAGAAAGTAGTTTCCTCAAGTGATTGTAGTGGTTGCTTCACACACACATACTACATATATATACGCACATATACTACATATATATATAATGTGTGTGTGTGTGTGTATTTATATGTATGGTGGTGGCCATCTTGGATTTTGATGTGGGAACCCTATTTTCAAAAGAAATCTTTCTTACACCTTGGTGCAGCCACACCCCAAAATGGAAGTCGGACCTGATTTATTTTTCACGTTATCATGCTCACAACATGCACGCACGAACAGACGGAGGGTATTTCCTTTTCCTCCTTTTAGCTCCTCAACAGGGGACAATGAATCATCTGTAACAAAACATGTTAAAGCTACTGCATGCGGCTCATTGGATCACCATGGCTGGCTGCGGTAGCCATGTTTCACTGAGTTATTTTCAGTGATAATTAAATATTTTGCTAACAAACACATACACAGACTTTGTAAAATGATCTGCGATCAGCTGATTTTTTTTCCTGTTTGCACTTTATTCTGACATTAGTGTGAGTGCTGCACGCTCCTGGGATCTATAAATACACGCCCCCCCCCCCCCACCCCACACACACACACACACACACACACTCACAAACACACGCACACTGCTTACTACAGTCTTAGTCTAATCAGTCTGCGTTCAGAGGGATTAGCTGCAGATAGCTCGAGCTGGACAGTTTAGATTTTAGCCCCAAACAGAGACTTAAACACACACAACACAAGAGGATTTAGGCTTCAAACAACATGCATAGGCATAATCTAGTCCCCCCCTAAATAACAATAAAAACAAACATACTTGGCAATAAAAACCCAGTTTGCCTTCAGGCTCCCACCCAGCCTGAACATGAGCTCCACACTGTTCTGCTCCGCTCCCTGACAAAAGGCTCGTTTTCCCGCAGAGGGTTCACTTGAGTGAAAGGACTCAACAATAATTGCCCCCACATGAAAGAACAGAATCAAACGAGTTTCCAGTTCTAACAGCGGCCCGCTTTTCACCGAGCACGAGCTCTGAAAGCCGAGCACAGTCAGTGGGCGGGCCGCTAATCCTGAGCTTCAGGGGTTAGGCTTGAATTTGATGCTCTGTAGAAGTGTGTGTGTGTGTGTGTGTCCTTGTTTATGCTACTTTGTGAGGCCCATTTTTCCAACTTATACTGCATTGTGAGGACCAAATGCTCCTTATGGGGCCCAAAGTCCGGGCCCCATAAGAAGAAGTCCCGTTGGTGGGTTAGGGGCTAGGTTTAGGACTAAGGTGTGAATTGAGGATGTGTTAGGTTTAGGGTTAGGTATGTACTG